GACTAAGACAAAAGGGAACCACACTGTTGGGAATTGTTAGTAAACCTCCAATTTATATCTCACCGCTATTATCTATTCACTGCTTAATCTTTGCTAGGAACCAAGAGCAAATCAGAGAAAAATGTAGGAGAGGATGAAGACTAAGCTAAAGAGAGATAATGACTAAGACAAAAGGGAACCACACTGTTGGGAATTGTTAGTAAACCTCCAATTTATATCTCACCGCTACTATCTATTCACTGCTTAATCTTTGCTAGGAACCAAGAGCAAATCAGAGAAAAATGTAGGAGAGGATGAAGACTAAGCTAAATGAGAGAGATAAAGTAGACTTCTAAATGCAAGCAAAAGTACTTGGAGTTCCCCGATTTGAAAAAGCTCTTTCGGGCAAAGCTAGTTTTCCTTTTATCTTCTCAGATCATCACCGTGGGGCCGCTGGAGGCAAAGGCTGAGGTGGTCAGATCGGAAACGCCCCCTCCCCAAGCCTGGGTGAAAATGCCGTCTGTCACGTCCCCCAGGCCGGTCCGGTGTCGGTAGAGCGCACCCCATAAGCCAGGCTGGGCGGTGCGAGGAAAGCCCGGGGCGTGGGAGAGGAAGCCGTGCTTTCCCCTCCGGAAGCTCGTTGTGTGCGGCTGACTCAGAACCCACAGAACCGCGTGAGTCCCACTGTCCCCGCCTATGGAAATCACTGCCACTACGGCTTATCCCCCTGATGGCCCGCGGGCCCCGAGAGATCGCTCCAGTCCAAGAGAAGCTGCCCAACCCAGTTTGCAGTATGGTACAGTGTGTCCTCCCCAGTGGGGTGCCTGGACACTCAGACCCTATGGGCCCGCGGCTGGATCCCAAGGACAGCGCAACTGCCACGCGCACCTCTCTGGCTCTGTGCGCACAAAAGCGCGCAACTGCAAGAAAGGCGCAGCCACTGCTGCGTTTTTCTCTACAGCTCCCGCCGCCCACGCAGGAGGTGTCTGTGCTCCTAGAACAATAGAGGGCTGTACCTCGCGGCTCCGCCGCTAGAGGAGGCACAAAGAGCCAAGGCAGCTCCAGAACAATGTAACCAGCGCATCAACTCGTCCCCTCCCGCTCGTCGTCAGCCCTCCCCGCCGCGGCGCGACGCGCACAATCAGCGTCCGCTTAATGCAAAGGCGGAGCCTGTAGCCCGCGGCCAAGATGCATTAACTAACCTGCATCTTAATTTCTCAGCACCTCTTCCCTGAGAGCGCCTAACCTCTCTCCAAGCCCAGCCAAACCTCGGCAAATCCCAGCAAACGCTAGGAGCGGGGCAAGGGTGGCTGGCAAGTGAGACACAGCGCTCTCCATTCTTAGTTTCTCTTCCCCCATTCTCCCGGAGGTTAATGTGGCAGTCCAGACCCTCATCCGTGCACCCTCCCCTCGCTGTGGACAGTGACATGGGAGCTAGCCCAAGTCGGTTCTTTGGGTCAGAAAGTCCCTGCGCCAACGCCAAGGCCGAAGAAGGGCTCAGGAAGCGCTGTTACAGTCTAGCGAGCCACCAGTTCCCGGTGCGGGCAAGGCTGTGTGTGACTCCTGCCAATAATCAAAGAAGTTTGCCTGATATGGTGGGTAGGAGAACAGAGAGATCTTTTTCTCTTCTGAAGAGCAAAGCCCCTCAACTGACTCCATACAGGGAGACTAGGCAGTTTGGAAAACTGAAATGTATTGTTTAAGCAAGTGTTCAAGTGCACAGGGTTTTGGACAAGGGCAATACCTGGTCTCCGTGAGTCCTGGAAAAAGAGGGCTCCTAGTGGATACCGAGGACCCCATCTCGCCTCGGAAAGACAGGGCAAAATTGACACATTGAGGGAGGCAAATGAAACGTGTGTGTGTGTGTGTGTGTGTGTGTGTGTGTGTGTAGGGGGGAGTCGGTAGATCAAAGCTGTAGACAAGGAGGAAGGAAAAGAAGAAAAACAGAAGAAGGGAGAGCAGAAAGAAGAGGAGGAAGAGAGAAAGGAAGTGGAACAAGGAATAAAGTCAAGAACAGGAAGTGTGTAGGGGATAGCAGGAGAGAACCCGGAGAAGTGCTAGGTGCGCTGACCCGCGGCCACAAGCACCCCAGAGTCCTCTCCCCAGCAGCGTGGCTCCAGGCGACTCTCTGGGCTTACCTGCCAGGCGTAAGGCGGACATGCGCTGGAACTCCGGCTCCTGCAGCCACTTCCACATCCTGCGGAAGGTCTCCCTGCCAGATTTGAGTTTACTCCACGGCTTTGGGTTCCGGAGCAGGTCGGAGAGAGTCCCCTGAGACCGGCACAGCACCCTCTGCGCGAAGATCGCCTGCGGAATGCTGTAGCGCTTCAGCTCGGCGGTGATGCGCTGGGCCACCTCTTTGGTGTTGATCTCCTCCAGCTGGCCAGATGTGGCCACCTGCGAGCCCGACGAGGACGAGGGTGGACGTTCGCGGCTGGGTGCCAGCACTGGCCCGTGGGACTGAGCGTGACCCGGGTGGTGCAGGCCATTGAGGTGCGACATCATGGCCGCGGGCGGGGTGCCCAGGCCCCGGGACAGGTGCTGCTCACCGCGGGTCAGCATGGCAGTGTGGTGCGCGTCGAAGTTGGGGCTGAGCATTTTGTCGTGGCCCGGCGGCCCGTAGTTGGGCAGGCTCTGCTGCGCGTTGTGGAGGCCACCCAGCCCGTTGCCCAACGGCGTGGCGCCCAGCGGGGACAGGCTCTGGCTCATGCCCGGCATCTCCTTGTAGGGGCTGTAGAGGTTGTTCATGGCCGGGAGCCCACGTTCATCGCGCATGAGGGTGAAGCTGCCGCTGACGTTGCCCGACAGGCGCTGGTGGTGGTGGTGGTGGTGATGGTGGTGTGGGTGGTGGTGGTGAGGGTGCGGGTGGTGGAACTTGTCCGACACGGTGGAGATGGGCGGCAGCGGCTGGAGCGGCGTCAACGTGGTGTAGGTGTTGCTCATGCCCATCCCGGGCGGAGACGAGTCGCAGGACATGCTCATGGCGTGATGGAGCGGGATAGAGAGCTCGGGCCGGTAGTCGCCGCCGTCCAGGATCGAGGCCATGCTAGTGACCATGGCC